GAGAATTTCTTCTTTGATCATCCATGGAACCACGCGGGGCACGAGACCTAAACAGCCTTTCTCAGCTGGAAGTCTCTGTTCTCGGATCCGATGCCATGTGGGCAGACGCCCCGCGGACACACCCAGCCGCCGCCTGTGCTTCCCTCCACAAACCTGCCGCCTGCCCTCGCCGGCTCCGGTGAGCCAGCCACCTTCCACCCACGGGGGGGGGCAGCTTTGCGGTAAGCACACGGTATCAGTCATGTTTGCATTTTCTGTGTCTTGTGATGTTGTGACGTCTTGGGGGACCTCACAGCCCGGGAGAGAGCCCACCCCTCCCAGGGCTGGGTAACTCCCAAAGGCTGGGTAACTCCCAAAGGCTGGGTAACTCCCAAAGGCTGGGTAACTCCCAATGACAGTAAGCGGAGTACTGGGGAGCACACCTCTCTCATGCGCAAGCCAGCGCCCACCCCCCAACTCCCATGCACCAAGCCAACACCCCCCAACACCCTAAAGCAGCCCGTGGCCGGGCACCAGGCAACCGGAGGCTGCCCCATTGGCCCAAGCCCACCAGGACTGCTCACGCCGCCCGATCCCGAACTCCCGTGCCCAGCCCTGTCTCTGCTGCAGAAAGCCCCATAAAGGCTCCGTCTCAGCTTCCACCCAGCCCTGCTCTGCCTCCTGCCCTAACTCGGGACTTCCCTGCGGCCCCACGTGGTGTGCCACACCCTGCTCTCAGGCGACGTAAGCAATGAAATCTTTCTATGGCACGGACTTCCATAAAGTCCCGTGGGTACAAATAAGGCACAGAAGCAGCAAAGAGATGATGACATAGATGAGCAGCCCCCTCCAGCTCAACCTCTGGCACACACGGCTATAAATGGGGGCGCCCCAGCCCCAACAAGAGCCCCCCGGGGGACAGCATTGTGCATATGTACAGGAGGTAATACCTGGTAATGATAATAAACAACTATGTTACTGGTTGCTGTGTTTACTACAGTTGTTATCCTTAGAGTGTTCTCCTCCTACTTAATAAAAAAAAAAGTTAACTATATATATAAGCAGCCTCAGGCGGCTCCTTCAGGAAGTATCCAGAACTCAGCGTGTTGTCACAGAGGACAGCTCCTTGCAGGTTACCGCCCCTGAAGCCCTCCCAGTGGGACAAGACGCAAAGGGGAAGACAGTGACAGGGATGGGCCTGACCCTCTGTAGGCCTGGGCTATTGTGTGTGAGCGTGTCTTAGCTCTTTTTTTTTAAAAAGAAAAGTTTAAAAAGGAAAAAAAAGTTTAAAAAATTGAAATTAGAAATAAGCTTATAGAATAAGGACATGAAGAAAAATACTTTTGTACAGCTAACAATGTGTTTGTGTTTTAAGCTAAGTGTTATTGCAGCAGTCAAATTTTTGGAAATTTTAAAGTTTGTAAGGTAAAAAAGTTACAGTAGGCTAAGGTCAAAAGGTTAATTTATTATTGAAGAAGGAAAGTGTTTTAATAAATCTAGTACAGGCCAAGAGCACAGCGTCTGCAGAGTCTACGGTGGTGCGCAGTGATGTCCGAGGCCTTCACAACCACTCACCACTCACCCGCGCAACTTCCAGTCCTGCAAGCTCCATGCATGGGAAGTGCCTATACAGGTATACCGTTTTTTATCTCTTAAACCACATTTTTACTGGACTTTTTCTATGTCTAGCTATGTTTAGATGCACAAATGCATGCCACAGTGTCACAATCCCCTAGAGTATCCGGCACAGTTCGATGCCGTGCAGGTGTGCAGCCGAGGGGCACAGGCTACGCAGAGAGCCCAGGTGTGCAGCGGGCTGTAGCATGTAGGTCTGTGCACCGCACTCTGGGACGTTCACACGACGCAGAAGTTGCCTAAAGATGCGTTTCTCAGTATCCCCATTGTTAAGCAACACATGAGCATACTGAAACCACTGGACTGTATGCTCTGCAAACAGGTGAAGTGTATACCATGGGAATCATATCTCAATAAGGCTGTTTGCATGTGTGCTTTTATTTAATAGTTATTGGTGGTGGGGGCAGGGCCTGGCGCCAGTATCACCACCCACTCACCAACCACCTGTGCTAATCACACAGCACCCCTGGGGCCTGATCTCCATGCACTCCAAGATCTCTCGAAGAGAATGGATCACATGAGAAGCCAATGACCGCCTGAATCAGATCACGTTACGGTACAGGTATAACCAGAGCACGAGGCATAACTATCTAGGAAGAAAGCCCCAAACTCACTATTTTGTCAAACAACCAAGCCTTGTTCTTCCAGCATCGCTAGAGACTGTGCCTAAATGCCTCCCTCTTCTGCAACCCCCAGCAGGGAGGAGCCCCCACAGCAGCCTTCTCTGCAGGGCACCCAGAGAGGATGGCGTCTGTGCAACCCCATATGTGGCCAGCATCCTACACGGACATCACAAAAGAAAGTCGCAGAGCTTAACCCAGACTCTGTGGACGAGCTGCACGTGGACACCACCACGCAGGATGCTCTGAGCCCTGAGATTTGGAGGAGCCAGATGAAGAGGGAGCAATTTCTCAGGATCAGATGGGAGAAAAGACGCCAGGTTCTCAGCACTCTGACGTACTGAGATCTTTTAGGACAGGAGTCGGCAAACCTTTCTGCAAAAGGCCAGCCAGTAACTACCTTCACCTTTGCAGACCACATGGTCTCTGTCACAAGGAATCAACCCTGTCATAGACAATGTCACAGACAATATGGAACGGATGAATGTAGCTGTGGACCAATAAAGCTTTATTTACAAGAGGATGAGCATAGCCATGTGCCAATAAAGCTTTATTTACAAGAGCATGAGCACCACTGTGTGCCAATAAAGCTTTATTTACAAGAGGCAACCCAGATTGGCAGAAGATATCTGCAAATCACACATCTGACTGAGGATTAGTATCAAGAATATATAAAGAACCCATACGGCCCACCAACAAAATAACAAACAGCCCAATTCAAAAACGGGCAAAGAACCTAAATAGGTATTTCTACAAAAAAGATATCCAAATGGCTGATAAGTACATGAAAAAATGCTCCCAATGACTAATCATAAGAAAAATGCAAACCAAAACTACACTGAGATACTATTTCACACCTACTAGGATGCAAATATAAAAAAACAAACAAAAAGCAGAAAACAGGTGCCTGAGGACAGAGAAACTGGCCCCTTGTGCACTGTGGGTGGCAGTGTAGAATGGTGCCACCACGGTGGCAAACAGTATGCAGGTCCTCAAAAAGTTAAGCAGTTACCATATAATCCAGCAATCCTACGTCTGGGTAACACCCAAAAGAAATGAAAGCAGAGACCTGAGGAGGTATTTGCACACCCACGTTCGTAACAGCAGTACTCACTATAGCCAAAAGGTGGCAGCGACCCAAGCGTCCACCACCAGACAAATGAGCAAAACGGGTCTACCTGTGGGATGGAATATCAGCCTAGAAAAGAAATGGCGTTCTGACACGTGCCACAACACGGATCCCCCTGAAGGCAGCGACTGACTGAAACAAGCCAGACCCGGAGGATAAACACCGTATGAGCCCACCTCCACGAGGCCCCCACGGCAGCCCAACCCACACACGCAGAAGGTAGCCCGGTGGGTGCCGGGGGTGGGTTCCAGAAACGGGGAGTTGGTGTGTTCACCGGGGACAGAGTTTCAGTCTGGGAGGATGAAACAATTCTGGGGTGGTGGGTGGCGATGGCTGTCCGACAAGTGAATGTGCTAACGACTACTGAGCTGCACGCGTAAAAATGGCTAAAACAGTAAATTTTATGTTATATTGTTTTTACCCACAATAAAATGAAACCCAAAATTGTATTTACAAAAACAGGCAACGGGCAGGATTTGACCCTCGAGCCGCACGCTGCCGATCTCTGACTGTGAAGGTCTTGCACCGGGTTTGGAGACAATGACATGCGTGGGTGCCCGCACGGGGGGGGGGGGTTGCGTGGGGGGCAGAGTCCTCCTCCCTGCAGACCCCTCCCTGCAGTCATCAGCATCACCGCCCGGAAGGTCACCTAAGGCCCCTGAAATCCTCTTGTGCTGCCTGATTAATCGGCCGGGGGTCTCTGATTACACCCACTGCAAGTGGAATAAATAATTGGAGACAATAACAAAGAACAAGAAAGCCAGATCCTCCAATTCACCTAATCTAACGTCTCGAACCATCATTGAGAATGTGCAACACTGTCATCAATTCCGTCACTCCACAGAAGAACCCTCATGCCGCTAATTCGAGACATCCCGCCTACCAACTGAACTACCCCTCAAGGGTAATTTTCCATTTTTCCTGAGTGGCGGTGGGAGGCGATCAGCACACAAGGTCTGAAATGCAGGATCCACTGTAAAATGACGCTGCAGCCTTGGTAGGGGGCCGGACGTGGTGGACGGTGGCCTCAGCACATCGGGCAGGCCCTGAGGAGCAGGACCTTGGTGGCTCCCCCTGGGGCCACACCGGGACACCTGCGCGTGCGGGAGAAGCAGCTGAGGGGAGGAACGGGGCCCAGAGAGACCTCGCCCAGCCGGCATCTCTGTCTCCAGTCTTCACCGCCGGGGCTCCCAGAGCCTCAGCACCCCAGAGAATGACCCCCCACCACAAAAGCCACCGTCCGTCCTCAAGCCAGGAGGCCCTGGGCAGCTCCTTGGGGAACTTATCTTCCCAGTGGACACCACCCCCTTTCCTGAGATCGCCGACTGTGCGGCCCAAAGAGGTGCTGCCCAGAAAACCAAAACTAAAATAAACTCACGCCCAGCCTTCGCGAGCTGCCCAGACCCGCTTTTCCCTTCCTCCTGCCGCTTTCAGGGCAGAGACGGCCATCACAGGGGCGACACTCCGAACCAAGTGCGCCCACCTCGTGGGCCGAGAGCAGTTCCCTAGGAACTCGCCTGAGGCCCCACCCTGACAACAGATTTCAAGAGCGACAGAGCAGCACAGCAAGTGTTGTTATCAGGGACCCCACCGTGGTGACAAGCGAAAGACCAGACCAAGCGGCCAAGTGTCCTTACTCATGAAGCCAGCAGAGCAGGTGGGACGGGCTGGGCCCCAACGGAGAGGCCCGGGAGGCTGGATGCAGGTGTTCTTCCAGATGCAGAAACAGTCACCGCCGCAGGGACTCTGAGCTCTGTGTCCCACCACCAGCTGGGAACAAACATCAAGTCCCAAGTCCAGGCTCAAAGGAGGTCAAAGGCCGTCGATTGCTGACAGCACCTGCAGTTCTAGTGCCTGCTGGACACTCGCTCCTTCCCTCCCCTCGGTGGACACAGACAAATCTCCTCCCCTCTCTGAACCTGCTCCTTCCTCTAGAATAAAGGGGCGGGCCACCTTGTCCACTAGGGTCACACGTTCCCATATACACCCATGTGCCATCTTTGATCGAGGGCCACGATGAACAGGAATCGTGTGTCAAGCCAGGAGGTTCCTAACAAGGGACCGGCACCTAGCACTGGCCGGAGATATGAGAGCACGTGGCAGGCAGGCTCTGCCCGCTCAGCCGGGACAGCTGGGGTAGCAGGAGCCCCGCCAGCATCCCCTCCAAGGAGAACACCTGCCCACACGGGATCTGGGAGACAGCAGAGGGTAGAGAGAGCTCAGAGACTTGGGGGAACCTGGGGTGCAGAGAAGGGCTTGAACAGGGGGAAGGAGAGGACCCGAACTAGACTTCAGACGGGGCTGGTAGGTGGTGGGACAGGAGGTGCCCCCAACGCCCAGGGTGACCAGCACCAGGGTGGCCCTGGGGCAGCAGCTCTGACCTTCGCCCCTGCCTGCCTGCCGCGTGTACAATTATCCCCAGGGCATGCAGGCCCACGGAGGGCAAACCCAGATACACAGTCAGCACATACACAGACATGAGCATTTCCACGGCAGGAAGACTTCACCAAGGACAATCAGGAGCAAGTGTCTGAAAGAGCCTCAAGGGCAGTTGAAAATGAAAAAACGGGGCTGAGAGACTGCCCAGGAATCTGGGCCACGGTGTCTGCCGCCATGGTCCCGGCACACGAGGCCATGCTGAGAGGCGGCGTCCCGCACCGGGAAGAGCCCGGGCTGTCAGCCAGGTCGGATCCAGCCACTCAACACACACGTGCGTGAGTATCGAGCTGCTGGGAGCCTGTTTCCTCACCTGAAAACGGTGACAACGTCACCTTCTGCACAGAGTGGGTGGTGAGAAGGGTGGGCACTGATGAGATATTCGGCAAATGCCGATTGCAGGCACGTATTGCAGATGAAATGATGCCAGTGAGGCACACAGTAGGTGCTCAATAAAAGGCATGCAGCAGCATAGAGTGAACTGGACCCTGCAGAGCACACCCAGGCGCCAACAAATGCAACCTGGTCCGTGTGCAAATGGTGGGCAGGAGCTTCAAGTGGCTCCACCACTCATCTGCTGCAGCACCCCTGCCCGGGTCCAGCGTGGGCACGGCAGCTCCGGCACCTCAGAGCAGAGACCAGAGCCAGAGCTAGGGTCTTGAGCCGCCATGCCATGAAGTCCCCTCAAGGTCCCACTAGCTGCACCAACGGGCAGCTCTGTTTCCCCAGCACCAAGGACAAGTCCCTCCACCCTCTCCTCACCCAAACACGAGCATATGGGGCCTGCCCACAGGAACTAACTGTCCCCTGACCACGGCACAAAGCGGGCGAGGCGGACCACAGGTCACAAGGACAAGGAAAGCGCCCTCACTCACCAGAGGAGCCCCGCAGAAAGGCCTCCTGGAACAGGAATGGTCTGCGCTCGGGCGGGCCAGGCCAGGGCAACTGGAGGCACTTCCGGACCTGAGAGGAGACAAGACCAGACGTGGTCAGACAGAGGCCGTCGAGAGGCACCTGTTAAAACTCCGTGTACATCCTGATTTTTCTGAGCTAAAAACCATGCACTGCAGTTCTGCTTCCAGGCAAATGGAGCAGACGCACTTCTCCCTGTTCCTCACACGAAGTACGGCCGGACACCGGGGCGTTGTACACAAAACAAACGAAAGACCCTGCGAGGTGGACGGGAGGCGGCAGAGCAGCGGGGCACGTGGCGTGAGGTCTCTGGGTTTTCCTCTTGCCTCGTACACCCCAGAAGTGGCCCAAACACCAACGGGACCAGGGGAAAAACCACACCAGGAGTGTGTGCTTTTAGTCGAAGGACCAGGAAAGTGGCCCCAGCAGAAAAGGCTGAATTGACAGCCTAGGTCTCCACCTCGTGTGGCTGTGACGAGGCACCCAATCCCTGCCAGGGCCGTGTCAAATGTGTCGGAGGAGGAAACTGGGACGTTCATCCCACCAGGCAGTAGCAAATCCCCCCTTTACCCCGATTAGTGCAGGCAGCGTGGGGGGCTGGATCTCCTTGGCCCCCAGGCAGTAACAAGGTACGACCTCACCACACTGGTCTGAGCCAGGAAGACGGGTGCAGAGTGGGGACTGCCCAGTGATAACACCCCCCCCAGTGTTGATGGGGACCTGCAGGGAGCCAGACTCCCGCCCCCCCCCAGCAATAACAAGGAGCTCCCCACTTGGACATTAATGGGGGCCATTTGGGGAACCTGCACTTCTACCCCCACCTGGCACCAGACCAAGTTGGCTAAAGAAAGGTTTCAATAAGATCCAGAGTCTCATGAGGCAATAGGAAAATGCCCACATTTGGATATAAAGTCACTCCTCGTACCAAGAGTCAGGAAGATCTCAAACTTTAAAAAGGCGTCACTGAACGCCAACACGAGGTGACAAAGAGGTTAGAACCTTATCTGACGAGCTGCAGGCCACTGTGATAAAAATGCCACCGTGAGCAATTACAAACACGCCGGAAAGGGACGAAGAAAACAGAAACCCTCAGCAAGAAAACGAAATCTCAGCAAAGAAGTCAAAGATATAAAGAACCGCCAAATGGAAATGATAAGAGTAAAAAATACAATAACTGAAAGTTATTTTATTTCACAAGGAATCTGCAAAAAAAAAAAAAAAAAAGAAAAAGAAAACCCTCCCAGAAATAATAAATGAGTCCAGCAAGGTCACAAGACCATCAGATCGACATACTAAAGTCGATTGTATTCCCGTAGATCAGCAATGAACATGCGGACACAATATTGCTTATGCTTGCTCAAAAAAATGGAATATTTACATGTAAACCTAACAAAACATGGACAGGAACTGGATGCTAAAATCCACACGATGCTGCTGAAATAAATCTAAGAAAATCTAAATATATGGAGAGATGTGCCCTGTTCATGGATTGGAAGATTCAACACAGGATGCCAACTCTTACCAAACTGACACACAGGTTGAACACAATTCCAGCCAAAATTCCAGCTAAACTTTTTGTAGACATAGACAAGATTATTCTAAAATACACATGGAAAGGCAAAGGAACTAGAATCACCAAAACAACTTGCAAAGGAAGAATAAAGTGAGAGCAATCAGTGTTCCCAATTTCAAGATTTATTACACGTTAATCAAGAGGGTGTGGTTCTGGTGGAGGAACAGGGACATGGCAATAGAACTCAACAGAGGGCCCACAGAAAGCACACGTGTACATATGCACGCATGCCCACGCGCACGCGCGCACACGCGAATAAGCCCAGCTGATTTTGGACAGAGGTGCAGAAGCAATTCAGTGAAGGAAGGACCGTCTCTCTTCAACAAATGGTGCTGGAGCAACTGGATAACCATTTGCAAAATAATGAACATCACCCTAGGCTTGATGCCTTACACAAAAACTAACTAAAAATGAACCATGAACTTAAATGTGAAATATAGAACTTTTAGAAAGAAAATAGGAGAAAATCTTCAGGATCTAGTGACAGGCAACAAGATCTGAGACTCGATGCCAAAATCGAAAACCACAAACAGAAAACTTGATGAATAGAATCTCGCATCAAAATTCAAAACTTTTGTTCCATGAAAGACCCTGTGAAGAGGATAAAAACACAAACCACAGAGTGAGAGAAAGTGTTTGCAAACCACTGTCTAACAAAGGATCTGTGTCTAGACTATATTGAAAACTCTCAGGCCAGGCGCGGTGGCTCACGCCTGTAATCCTAGCACTTTGGGAGGCCGAGGTGGGCGGATTGCTCAAGGTCAGGAGTTCGAAACCAGCCTGAGCGAGACCCCGTCTCTACTATAAATAGAAAGAAATTAATTGACTAACTAAAAATATATATACAAAAAATTAGCCGGGCATGGTGGCGCATGCCTGTAGTCCCAGCTACTCGGGAGGCTGAGGCAGAAGGATCGCTGAGCCCTAGAGATTGAGGTTGCTGTGAGCCAGGCTGACGCCACGGCACTCACTCTAGCCTGGGCAACAAAGTGAGACTCTGTCTCAAAAAAAAAAAAAAAAAACTCTCAAAACTCAACAATAAAAAACAAACAACAATCCAATGAAAACACAGGCAAAAGATAAAAACATTTTACAAAAAAAGAATATACAGGTGGCAAATGAGCACATGAAAAGGTGTCCAACATATTAGCTATTAAATAAACGCAAATTAAAACAAGACATGACTGCACACCTATCAAAACAGCTAAAATGAAAAGTAGTCCCACTAATTGCTGGTGAGAAGACAGAGAATCTAGATCATTCAGACATTGCTAGTGGAAACACAAAATGGTTCAGCCACCCTGGAAAACAGCGTAGCAGTCCCTTAGAAATCTAAACATGTAACTCCCACGTGACTCAAAAATTGCACTCCTGGGCATTTATCCCAGAGAAACGAAGACTTATGTTCACACGAAAACCTATACACTAATGTTTATAGCAGCTTTATTTGTAACAGCCAAAACCTGCAAACCACCCATATGGCCTTCAACAGGTGAATGGTTAAACAAACTGACACATACACACCATGAGATAGAATACTACTCGGCAACAAAAAGGAAGGAAATACTGATACGCAACAGCCCAGAGGAATCTCTAGAGAGTTACACTGAGGGGGGGGAAAACAGCCAATTCCAAAAGGTTATTTCCTGTGCAATTCCATTTCTGTATCACTACCAAAATGACAAAGTTACAGAAATGGAGAAGAGATGAGTACCAGGGCTTAAGGAGCTAGTGGTGGTGGAAGGAAGTGTGTGTGGCTATGAAAGGTAACATGAAGAATGCTCGTGTTGATGGCAATATTTGTATTTTGACTGTATTGGTGTTAGTATCCTGGTTGTGCTACCATAGCATGGTCTTCCAAGATACTATTACTGGGCAAACTAGGTCCACGGTGCAGGGAACACTTCTGTATTACTTCTTACAACTGCAATGATCTTAAAAATATAGTTGACCTTGAATAACACGAGTTTGAACCTCACAGGTCCACTGATGTATATATATACATGGGCTTCCTTCTGCCTCCACCACCCCTGAGACAGCAAGACCAACCCCTCCTCTTCCTCCTCCTCAGCCTACCCAACGTGAAGACGATGAGCATGAAGGCCTTTATGACAGCCCACTGCCACTCAATAAATAGTAAAAATTAACATATTTTCTCTTCCTTACGATTTTCTTAATAGCAGTCTTTCCTCTAGCTTAGTTTATTGTAAGAATATAGTATATAACACATGTGACATACAAAACACGAGTTAACTGTGCATGTCATCGGTAAGACTTCCAGTCAACAGCAAGGTACTAGCTGTTAAGTTGTGGAAGAGTCGAAATATGCATGGGCTTTTGGCTGTGTGAGGGGTTGGTGTCCCTAACCTCTACATTGTCCAAGGGTTAACTGTAAAAAGGTTATTGTTAAAAATACACGGTGGAAAACAAACTAACAAACAAACAAAAAGAACATTTCACAG